ATGAAAGCATAAGCACGACAGAGCGAACAGTGGGTGATGTTAGCATATGTCTGATTTGACTTTGTAGCAAGCTTTATTCAATAAATACAGTTATATCGATCAATAATTGTACGATGATAGCATTCGAGGTGATTTATGAAATATGATAGATCTCTGGTTATGATATGTAAACTAATTGTTTCATATATTGAACAGATATGGAGAATCAACTCAACGAGTTTATAAATTGGTCTATATTAAAGTATCGCGAGATTTCCGCCCGGGAACCTTCTGTAACACCTAATAATTTATCGTAGAAAGGTATCGAGTTGTTCGGTATAGCATCTTACTGGGAGATTCCACTTTATCGTCAGGGTCGTGTTGCGGTTCGGTACCGTTAGGCTTAGCCCGAAGATTCAGATCATGAAAAATACAACATCGTCCAATTTCAAAAGGTCTGCACTGAAGAAATGACCTCTAGAGATCAAAATTCAAACATTTGAGTGTGATTGATGCAATGATGGTCACAGAGTCAGTGGGATTACTGTAAATTAGCTAATATTGGATTATAAATAGCAGAAACTTCAAGCAAAACATCGCCCCAGGTTTATTCATCAGGAGCAAAATCGGTTCAATAAATTAAAAGAGTGACCAGACTCTCATATCCAGAAAAGTATGCATTTATCAAGGGATTTTGCTTAGTTTCCGAGATACAGCTAGATTACTGGTGAAATTAACTAATAACGATGAAAGAATCATGAATTCTTCAAAGTATGTCCTATATCTTATTGTTGGGCGATCACATTCTATTGTGCCAAATCCACAAATCAATGCCGACGCATCTTTCTGATGATTCTCTGAACAGTAATAATTCGTCGGTGTATTGAATGCGGAACATCGATAAACATCGAAAGAAGAGATCTTTATCAGAATTTGAAGTCAGAATACAACTGGTAAAGGACACGAACAGTAATACGAGAAATGAGAGGGTACAGCTCACAGACGATACTCGTAAGAAATGATGAAAGTCAGAATAATAATTTGAAATATGCTTCGATAGATATGGATGAAATTCAAAGATACAGTCACAATATTATAGCATTTATAGGAAAATACATTAGGGAATTCATGGTCATTCCCAAAGGAATCATGATACCATTCAGAAGGATCTTTATTATATAGTAGGATCACAAGCACAACATGAAGTTTTAGATTAATTATTTTGTGTTCATTCCGATGGACAAACGATAAAAATGTTTCTGAGATGTGCTTTCATCCATTTTTACCAATATCATTCAGCCTGTCCTTCCTTCCTCCTATTGTGTACTGTCACTGATCACGCTTTCATAGGTGCGACTTTTTGGTAAATCCTCGGAAGTCATCGATAGTTCTTCACGGCTGTGCTTGATTCCATATGTTCCGTATATGGCAAATCCTGAAAAGTTTTTACGAATTTGAGCAAATTACATAATTTTTTGAGTGCGTGCGATTTTTTGAGAACAATTGAATAGTACAGAAAAAATAAACTTTGTTTTATGACAGATTAAAGAAATAATCGGGCATACGGAAGATCAGAATCTGAACAGTTGATCATAATCGAAACGACGAGTTTTCTAAATATTTTATGAACGAACGAAACATTCTCCGTACCAATAAGAAGCCATATGATGAGACGTAGCCATGTAACTGGAGCCAGATGCATCATCAATAGCACATTCACGAGGATACTCACTGAAGGAACCAATGGCACCAACGGTACCTATAATCATTTCCACGGTATTGCTGTCAGTAACAATAATAATTCTAATCATAATAACACCATAGTCGAATTCTCAAATTCCGTATTGAACATACAATAAGCTAAACGGTTCGGTATTTGCATTTAAATTCGTGGAATGCATAAATTTATGAGGGAATATAACGGAAATCTGACTAGAAGCTGCGAAAAGATCAAGACATCGGGAGGTTTCACAATAGTTTTTCGTGAAAACTACTGCAATCAGATTGATAACGACAAAATGTAAGTAATAATGACAATAACAAGAACAACGATAAAAACATTAAGTACACAGTCATGATAATAACAATAATATCATCATTATTATTGCTATCAATTATTAATTATTAATTGGACATCGAGTGGTTGTTTCGTCAATCGCAGTGAGCGATCAGCGGAATATTTATTTTATTAGGGTAATGATTATCTATTGGATTCGTATTTGACTGCGTTTAATTATGCAAAGTATTCACGGCGACTAATTATTTACTCGGTTGTGTTCGGTTGGCCTGCTCGCCTAGCCAGCGGGGTGGCGTAAATTGAGGCTAAAACAATGCGCACGGAAACATTGCGAGCATTGTGGCCAGCAACGTTATAAACGTTTGATAGCCTGGGCAATCCAGGTAATCATCATTATTATGATAACAAAACTAGCAGGAGTGATCACGTGATATGATAGTGACAAAACAAACCTTGAAATCGATTTGTGCATTATTCTGATGATGAAGACAGATCAAGATGAACGCTAGTCCAGCGATCAACCCGAACAGCATCGCACAAACGATGCCATACGAATATCTCAAAGAGCCACTCGCGAAGATGATACTCATCCCAACATCGCCGATTATCATCATGAAAACACTCCATGTTACCAGAATTCCTGGTTGTGGTATAGTCAACCAGCTTTGAAACGGTACCCACTTTCTGATACGACCACCTGAAATTAATTATAGGCCATAATTATTATCAATAAACCTAACTTCAGTTAATTGCTACACATATTACAGTGGTTCTCACGTTCGGGTGCCCAATCCATGACACAGATCATAACATATTAATTGTATAGATCATACATAACAACTGCACGAAATACTACTTTCCCGACCCTCTCCATTATCCTTTAACACCTCCAAATTACCCAAAATGGGTAATTTCACTCCCTATGAAAACCACTGACTTATCATAATCGGTATCAATGCTGTTATGAGTATTACCATTTCCCTCACTGATGCCTCCCTCTTCGGACGGTTCGTATCGGTATCTGAGGACAATGACACACGCAGACACAATTGTATATGCCAATAGGGTGCCGATCGAGAGGAATTCCACTAGAGTTTCAATATCGAATAGTAATGCTATTATTGAAGTGGCTGCTCCGAACACTACGACTGCGTTGATGGGAACCTGAAGTTTCGGTAATGTCATCGTGATTATTATCAAAATTGTCGCATCGGATCGAAAACAATACGATTCGTCAGAAGGCAAAAATGATCTCTGAACAAAAGTGCTCTAGAAACTAACCTTTCGCTGTGTACATTAGCTGTTTACATGTAAGATATGATAAATCCATACGGATATATAGGGATATAAGATACACATGATGAAATGCAACACTGGTATGTACTATAGGATCATCATCTTATCCATCTTATCCCTTTGAGCTCGTATGATCACCCTATACTGCCTTATTGATTCGTATGATGAAACAGAACTTTTGTAGTACTGCTCGGATGAATCACTCTATCCGTTATCCCTTTTTGCTTGTATACTATTAATCCTTTGTTTCGATAATGTTATCCAATGTTATTGTAAACAAACGCCCGAAACATTGATGATGGTTGTTTATTAGCGAAATCCGCAGTATTATTCTCCTGTGGCCATTTCATTTTTCAGTTGATATTCAAAAATTTTAGCTATATGAATAAAGAAAACAAAATTGCGTTGTCTATCTGGTTCCTCTCAATTCTGATAAGATCTGGGCAAAGATCAAAGTAGTTTTCAAGTTTCAAAAAATCTCGCCCCCTCCCCACCCGGTCAGTACCTACCTGTGTCTTATCGCTAATCTGTGAAAATGTCGAATACAGAAGACCATCTTCGGCCATCGCATAAACACAACGTGGTAGAGCGAACATCGAGCCGACCTGAAATGAATATTTTTTTTCAAAAATTTGAACCATTTTTTCCAGCAAAAGTCATAAAATTTTCGAACTTTCAAAACTTTCAATGGAAATTCACACAATTTCACGTTAAGCTTTCAGAACTTTATGGTTATACGTACCATTTTTCAGTATGCCTTATAATATCTAACACAGCACATTGAACAGAAGACAATGAGAGAACTGAGTTTTCAAACATTCTGCAGATCAAAATTATTGACGAAATCAATACAGAATCACACACAGACCAAACTTGTCGTCATTCCTGACATGGCACCGATCGAAACGATATATTTGGCCCATTCAGCTCCACGACTGGCGAACGCATCCGAAAACGCAGCGGTTGGATTAACCTGAAGCCAAACAACTCAAACATTTCCGAAGGGATCATTAAAATAAACATCGAATTCGGTATCAGCTCAATTCATTATCAGCTAAAAAAGGCGATAACAATTAACTAAAGCATTGACAATTAATAGGCTTAATCAATGATCCCAAATGAATGATGATCACCACCCACCTGTCTGAATGGAACCATTAGTGTGAGCGCTGCGGACATCAGAATGTAGGCGGCTGTCACGATCGACATCGATATGAACGTTGCGACCGGTATAGCGCGAGATGGATCTGAGATGGATCAACTTCATAAGGATATCTTATCTGAACAAGGGGATATTCGAAGATATCCGCACTCAAAAACCCATATTCCCCTTTGCGGGTGAGTCGGACTATTCGCTTTCAATACCCGATGTCAACTTCGTACAAATTCATCCACACACTTTCATTTCGGCTGCTAAAACTCTCCCGTTTACTCTCAAATTTTTCATCCTTATCGCCTGTGTATTTCCGAGACTCGTCAAATCTTTTACGATAGAATATCAGTTTCTGTAAAAGTTTCTAGTGAGCACTCAAACAATTTGTTATATGAGGAGGTGTCTGCCGTACCGGAGGCTTCTTCTCCAGCTGTTGCAAGTCCATCGAAACCAATATATGCGAAGAAACAGCTGGCCGCACCAGCCAACAGACCGTTCAGACCGTACGGCATAAATCTGGGTTGATGCGTCTCTTCGTCATATCCACTCCACAGCGAAAAATCCGCAAACGTGAAACCATAGCCAACAACGAATGCAATCACCTAAACTCTACACACACTTTATTTACGTCTTCAAATGGGACGAGTGGTGGGTGGCTAGATTAGGCAAACTCTTCAGTGGATTATGAAATTCTTTCAGAATCATTTAGATTCATTTAGAATCATTTAGATTCTCAGATATGCTCTCTGATGTATAGCTTATCCGAATGGTGGCTTAGAGCGTGAGCTGATTAGACGACTTCAACTCGTCACCGTGTGAAGTTCCACTTGAAAAAGTTATGCTTCTCTGAGAAGTTTTACGAATTCATTGAATTTCTGTTCAGGCCTCAGAAATCGCGGAATGCAATGAAGTTCCAAGCGATTCCGGGCAGTGATTCAAGTAAAATGTTCCAAACGATAACGTACAAGCATGTTGATCATTGTAAAGATTGAATTGAAGTTGGTGGATGTCTTAGAGCCAAGTGCTACGAATAACGCTACTGCTATGACAACGCTAAACGCGATCAAGTCCGGATAGTCGGCAAAAAATGAAGCCTGAAATTAGATCGTTGCAGATTTATTTATGATCATCGTTCTATCGTTCTGAGTTTTGTATCCCGAATTGATGGATAGTGGATATCCCATAATCGGTTCTGTAACCGTTTAACCATGATATATTCATCTCTTATTGTTTTGGTTTGTCCCTTCATGCACAATTGATGTCTGTGCAAGATCGAGACCGTGTAGATCATCGTGGGCAATCAGTAGATCAAAAAATTGATAACAAAAACGTGAACTGATCAAATCGATTGATTGATCAGATGTGAGGGATTGATTGATCGGATCAATCAGAATTTTGATTGTAAGTTTCAGTTGCCGTGCAAATTTAAATAAATAATGGTTCTTGCATCAAAATGTGCCATGTTGATGAAGGTTGAATTTCTCATCGCATTTCCCAACAACGAATCCAAATAGCCAGACCACGATCGTGCCACAGCTGCAATTTCACTCGTCGATCTCTTGAGAAATAATAGTATTTCAGTTTCACATAATTACTCTATGCAAAATGGAAAATTCCGAAGGGAATTCGATCAATTTCCTATGTTATCTGTTTAATTTCTATTGTGAAGCTATGAAAATTCTCAACAAACTGAAAATATTCCAAATCAAAAAGTAAAATAACGATTTAGAAACCAGCCGCTCCCAGCATATGCTCCAAAATGATATTCCATCCGATTGTGAAGGCCCATAGCTCTCCCACTCCAATATACGCATACGTGTAAGCACTTCCGGCTTTCGGGAATCTAAATTCCACTTAATAATTGTTGTCCGAAGTTTCATCTCTCATTTCAAAGATACTATCTTGATTTCGTATCTATCCATCTGATATCTTTTGACTTATTCGATCAAAACTTTTTCGCCTTTTAACTAACCTCGCTCCAAACTCCGCATAGCAAAGTGCCGATAGCAACGAAGCGATTCCAGCCAATGCAAACGAAACCACAATCGACGGTCCAGTACTGTTACGCACCACGGATCCTGCAAATAATATCCACTCAAAGTATGCTCTTCTCAACGATTAACTCCGAAAAAACACGAAAACCACTGGAGGTCCATTTTCCAAATGAGAATATTCCCTGTTGGAAGACAAGAATCACTGATGTAACTCATTTGACTGTTTCACGGCGAGTCTGTCTCCTCGTAAAAACTCGATCAAGAAAATATAAACCGCAAATTACACTTTTTTTTGGAAAATTCGAAATGTTAAATTGTTCTCTTCATCCGTTTAACTTATCTGCCAAATTTCGTACTCACGTAGTCATTAATTCTGACAAAATTAGCCGCCGTTATGCGATGAAACCATCAACTAACTCCCAATGAGACATTATCGCATGCAAATTAAAAGAGTATAACTAGTCAATTGTTAATGCGATTGCAATTCCCATCAGATGACCACTCATCATCACTAAGCCTAAACTTCATTATCCGTTCCTATTCACGCACTCATCGCAATAAATACTCTCATTATGAAAAATATATTAATCAAGCAATAAAACTGTTGTTGTGTTTATAATGCGAATATAATGAAAGTGTACACATGAATATCTCATCCATTTGACATCTATTCATTATGAATACTCGAATTTGTGATGATAATGAGGGATTTTTTATGGACTTGGAAGGAGATTGACTTTTTTTCGCAGATGCACCAGAAAGATCACTGAATGTTGTCTACAGATCATAAGGAGAAGACTGTTCAGAGCGTGACTGAGCTTATCATTACATAAACGAAAAAATGGTTTCGGGAAAAAGGCTTGAAAGCTGTAGTTGATTCAGTTATTCATATCTTCTTCACTAGTTATTCATATCTTCACTAGTCATTGCGATTGTGATTATTCAAACATCTTAGAGATGTCTGCGAAAATGAGCGAAATGTGACGGATTTAGAGAGATAAATAAATAAATAACGATTCGATGGATGGTGTGAGAATGTTGACAGTAATGCTAATTTGAGAGTATTTGTATGATCGAATGAGAGTTTTGGGATTCATTAATTATTGCATATGGCACACTGCTCATGCCAATTCATTAATTCATTTCATGCGATGGAATGCAATTAATTGACACTTGCACGTTTTGTCTTATCCAAAGAATTGTAACATCCACAAAATTACATCATTTCACGCAATGAAGTGAGTCTAATTCTTTCTTTGCATTTGACGGTTCATTAAATTTTTCTGACTGAGCAAAAAAATTGAATCAGTCAACTGGAAAAGTGCGTTTTTTCTTTCGAAAACTGCCTCCTTCAATGCTAAATTTCAAAATCTTATATTCCCAACAGACCTGATATTACCTCGATTCAACTGACAAGTAGAATTTCTCCCGAATTTAGTTCACTAATGACAATGCTGTGTACTTATTTGCGACATATAAGGATTTTTAAAATATAGTAGAATTTTAGGACATTTAACAAGCAGAATATTTATGACATATAAGTGGAACGATAGAAGGATTGTATTCACCTGTGAGGACATAAATGCCTGCACCAATCATATGACCCACTCCAAGCAGAGTGATATCGGTCGTCGTGAGGCATCGTCGAAGTCGAGTCTCCAGCGGATCAGTCGGCGCACTCTTCAGACGAAACAGCCGCTCTCTAAGCAGTGGCATGTTTCTTCCTCTGTCTTCCACAGATTCAGTTGTACAGTTCCGTTCCTATTATGGTACTGACATGCTTATGTCGATTCAGAGTAGCACTGTAAGAGATGAATTGATTCGGATTCCGCATAAGCTACAGAATTACACGATAAAACAACAACTAAATAGTTTTCATTAGGAGATGAGCAATTACATTTACATCTTCCAATAAGAATCACACACAAATCACAAACAAATCGCCTGCTAGACATCCATCAATTAACAATCGCCCATTGTCTGTGAATCGATCAAATCAATGTTCTGGATCAAATAGGACTCTAAACTCGCAAAGAAGTTTGAAGAAATCCTTCTCAAGTCCAACTCACACGTCAATTCACGTTATTCTCAAAAAAGGCCTGGAGCCACATAGTCCGATTTGCTCCTCCTTAATGATATTCAGATTTTCGAGTTATTCACTGAGCTATTACATTTTATGTAAAATTATTGCGCTGAAACAGTAAAAGCAAGTGATCACAACCTAAAAGGACAATATACTAACTCATTACGAATGAAACTTGCTACACACTCTCTTTCGATGGATGGATAGATATTCATGCATTCGCTTACACGAATAACATATCGAAATGTCGAAATTGATCGAAATTCGAGTCCATTCGTTTACAAATGCCGATCGAAGTTGACGGATAAAAGCAAATGGACGAAACGAAAGGATGGATGAATGGATGGATAAAGCAAAGATATTCACCAGCACATATATGCATGAATGTATAACTGCAGCAGTATTATATGCGCCTATGTAGAAAATGTACATTTATTGACAGCCTCTCGTGGTGGTGGTCATATGAAAAGCTAAACTAAACGCTCAGCCCATCGAATAATCACTCACTCATTCGCAATTATAGCCAGCTGCCAGCTTTCATGCAACCTCCATCCGTCCTTTTCATGCATGATTCCTTTCATGTTCGATGAGCAAGCACACTGAAGCCTCAGTGGGCGTTGAATCTAGTCTTGAGCAAGAAAGGCTTCCATGCATCATTACTCAACGCTTCATGCAATTAGTTCTCAGCTGGCAACACTACTTACAAACTTACGCTTTTACATGATCATATGGAAACTTTTCAAATCCATCAAGAGAATAAATTTGAATAATTACATATAAAAAGCCATACACTTCATCTGCTTTCACGGTGATCTGAAGGCTCATTGATTTAAGAAATGAAAGCAGTAGCAAAGTAGATCACATGAATAGAGGTGAATCAACCGATCCAGGTATATCTATAGAACATTTTTAGTATGTACAAAAGACTAGCTAAAACTGGAAGCATCTGGATGTTTAGCCTTATCTATTTGATTTTCATATATACACAAATGAATATAGAGATTGTAAGGACTAAAAATCACTACTCATCAGTTATTCCATCTATATGAACCTTATCCACTATCTTTTTTCCATTTTTCATTTGTCACTGAATTTCATGCCGTTTAGACCCGTCATTGCCCAATTACCACATCTGGTTTGAATTTAACCCATTCTAGAATAAACATCAACTTCTTATTGACTTATTCGTCAATTAGGGAATCGTACTACTTCAATTATTTCACTATACTCCTATTCTATCGGTAAACTGTAAGTATATGAATGTAAGATTTAGTAGGAGAGAAGAATTGGATAACTGGATGAATTAATATGCTGAAGATGACATCCAGTGAATGAACAATCCATGCATGCCCCAGTGAATGCGTTCGGCATGATATCCATCGCAAATGACTTACAACAACGTTATCTAAGCAAACAGCTGACGGTGCTAACATGCTTGGATATCAAATTATTTCCTTTAGTCACTACTTCATTTGCCATGATATATTGTTCATATTTCATAACACATCTCAGCTGCACTATATCTATCTATTTATCTATTTCATGATTCGTTTCCTATTGCACTCATCTTGCCTGATACTCACTGCGCATCGAATAATTCCATTTCTAACGAACAATATCTTACGTATCATATCTCATACTAGAGAGATAGTTAGATACCTTATAGCAGTCCTACTCTTAAGATGTAAAAGGCACCGAATAAGCTTAGCCCTACCATCTGCTTCAATCAATACAAAATGAAAGTAATTCATTCGTAAAGTCAGTCGGAAGTGAAGCAGTCAGATATTAATGGATATGACTGACGAACGAAGGTACTGAAAGCGGAGAGGATTGGATGCATGCGAGGGCATGAAATGTGCATGATGAGGAGTCACTGAGGTGTTGTGCTATGTTATGTTGAAATTTCATTTCAGCGAGTGGGTGATTCATTCACATGCATGATTCTTTAACGCATGTGAAGGGGCAATGCAATTTGTAGTCTTATGTGTTAGGCTTGCATGCATCATGCATACGAACACCAGCCCTTCTTTCAATTCAATAAGAAACAAACAAATACTTTTCCAATGAATCAGTGCAGTGCGGTTCTATTTTCATCAAATACCATCCAATTTGATTGACTTCTGCTATCATTCAAATGTTACATCTGTGTCATCCCCTGCAGATACAACATCGTTCTAAAACTTTTCCAGTCACCTCATTGCTTTAACATGATGCTTTAGCCCATAACAAGTCTTAATCTCAAGCTCTGTTTCGTTTCCCTTTTGTTGTCTTCCAATGAACTAATCATGCGAATTCCATTTCATGCGAATTCCAAAATGAAGAAGAACAATTGCTATGCGTATGCACGACACATCACATACGTCAAAGAATTCCTCCTACAGTCGAACACACGTAGGCAGATGGTATATTCCATCATTAATGAAGACATCAAAGACATCATGTTCACAATTCAGTCATATTGCTGTTAATCTAATGAATTCACAGGAATGCTCTTTGAATTGCGCTTTCATGAATGTAGGCGTGAATAGTTCAAATTCTTTGCTGAGTTTAAGAGTCGGAGCAATTAACTGGAATCGCACGCGCGATAAAAACTGCGCCTTCAGACGGATGACGTTCGAAGTGGAATGGTGAAAATGTAAGTCATGTGCAAATAGAAAATATTCATATAATACAGAGTACTTTCCCCATAGGATGGGGAAATTATCCACTTTTGGGTATTTTGGGAATGTTATTGGGTAATGGACACTTTAAGTACCTTGGAGGTGTCATTTTCTGTTCCATGCGATATCATTCATGTGCAAACACACATCAACTCAAAAAAATTACTTTTATTCAAACACACAATATAACTGAATTATCGTTATACAAATGTAAGTGATTAAGAGGCATTGTATTATATAATACAATAAAACAAGCACATATAACAGAAGAATTATCCTATTATCACACTAATGTTATTACATATATCGTTACTGTTATAGTTATAATAAGAACAAATTTTATAGAATTGATCCAACAATATACCGTATTTCCTTAACTGAGAACATAGTGAAATGTGGATTGCTCAAATTTTTCGGATACGAGGATCTATTTTAGGAGCTAGGGTGTATGGTACCGGTAACTGCATAGACAGCATACTTGAAAAAATACTGAATGAATAAATCCATGTTCAGATGGTATTAGAGAAACGTATCAAGCTAAAATCTGAGAGTTTTCGATGAATTTATCAAATTTTTGGGATCTCTTCAACGAGGAGAGGTATTATTCAATGAAATATTAAGTAAATATCATTTTAAGCGAATTATTAACTCATCATCAACATTCCTGTCATTATCGTTATCCTACCTAGAACATGAATAATTCATCCAGTGATATCTCGTCCGCGCTGTCGTCACTCACTTTGCCGGAGAATTTCGCCGATTCCTGAAAAAAATTTTAATTCTTTGAAGATATTCCTTTATGAACGCTTTTCTCCTACTTATTTCTGAACACTAATCATCTGAGAGCTTGAAGCGTCGATTAGACGGACAATTGCTATGATCATTATAAAACAAACCGCCACGTTTATAAATAAATGTAAACGAATAAATTATCCAGTGAATTCACTTACAATCAGTGGAAACATGCAAAACATATCATTAAATTCAGAAAAACAACAAAATCAAAAAATCAAACCTCTAACCATGTGAAATATTAGAGGCTTGAAGTTTACCTGACAGTATAAAACTATTTTAAAAGATTTTTGAAAAAAGTACCGAGCTTGCAGGTATCACTTCGTCGCATGGATGACAATGGTTCTGGACGGTCAGTTCGTGTACTTCACATTTGCAGAGTGTGCAACTATCGACGTGTTTCGGTTGAATCTTTGACGAAATCACATTCGCACCATGCTTCTGAAATGCTCAACACTCAATTGCCCTTCTCCTCCTTCAACACGGCCAAATAATTTCAGCAACTAGTCAGAATAATTTACTCGAAGAGTTTTTTCCTTTCCATAGGGAAATTGCACAGTTCATCTATTTTTTGCGAAGGAAAGTCATTTTTTTGTCTTCATTTGAGTGATTTTTCAGAATGTCAACTGCTCATCACTGACTCCTTGTGAATCACTCAATTTTCCGTCAATCAGTGCGATGAGGGGAAGGGAAGGAAAAGGAGAGGAGATATTCAAACAAAATCGCAAGCAACACGAGCGGATAATTGTCATATGATTGGAAACAGTCACTACTATAGGATTCGTTGGAATTTCAGTTATTCATTGAACTGAGCAATTATTTAACTCAAAATTATCCTCCATTACTAAATGAATTTCAAATCGAACACTAAAAATACTCAAGAAAAACACTCCGCACATAAAATACCATACTCCACAAGAAAAATCATAAGTTGGTGAAATAGTTTAGATGAATTAAGATATGAAAACAGGAAACTAACGATATTGAAGACGGTTCCATGTGATTCCTGGGCAACCACCGAGCAGACATCGCTCGGTTTCAGTACGTTCGATCGATCGCCCACTGGTGATCCGACTTGGCTGAATAAGTGATCGGCGTCCATTCCTTTAAAACACTCATTATTTTCGGGTAGAATTTCATCCGACATTAACAACCATTCACATGAAATCTTGATGGTACCGTCAAATTTCACGTCAAAATTTTGCTTTTACAGAGCTTTTTTGAAGGTATTCGTTGATTTTCAAGAAACTTTTAAGAAACAATGTTCTCAGACGTTTCTATTTCAGAATCTATCCTGATTACTGATGTTATGATTGTTCTGAGAATCAAACAAACTCACCAACTGCTTGCACCTTGTCGGACGTCTTGATCTTAGCCAACGAGAGCATATGCATCGTTATTCCCTGTAATAATACCAATCGAAATACCTTCGTGAGACGTTCAACTATTAATGCGAAAACGTTTAAATGAGCTTTTCTACATTCATATTCTCTGTTACCATTGAAAAATTAATAAAATCACCACAATTAATCGCACAATCAACGAAATACCGAAACTCAATAAGGTGATCAACAAAACTTACATGACTTATCACCAGCTCCTGCAGTTCCGATTGGCTGACCGAATGTGAACCACCAATGCATGGCTTACACGTTACCAACACAATGCTTTTTGCTGCACCCAACCTGTAATTTGACCAATATTCCTCTAAATAACCAACAATACAGTTGTTACCTTATGATTTTCACTTTACGATTAATAATGATCTCATCGATCCATTACGAAAATTAAGAAACCCGATCATTCCGGCTAATTTCTCATTGGTACCATTATATTCTTGAGACTATAGTCAAAACACTACAGTTTCACATTCATTTACTATCAGCAAAATCAAAACGAAATTGCCAAAATTGAGAGAGAGTGTGTGTCCAATGGAAATAATTTCTTGGAATCAACAGAACCTGAACGGAAAATGCTCCACAGCATATTTGATAGCTTCGAGAGTGCACATTGGCTTCGGCTCAAAACCGGATTCGCTCTCGAATTTGTGTTGTGTTTGACGTACGAACGCGTTCATGTCGAGAACTGCCGAATCATGCCCATAATGGACATGTGGTGAATGGTGAATACCCTCACCACCATAGCCGATCCAACCGAAACGTGCATCCCTTCAAAACGTTCATCTTAGCGATACTTTGATGAGAATATTCAATAATATCAATTCATAGTGGCCAATAATACCTCCTATATAACAGTTTTTGCGATACACATAATGAATCTTCAATAATTCTGAATGAATCTCACCGAATTTTGAGTGAATTCATTAGCAAAGTTGAATTAAATTCATAAAACCATTCTAACAATATCAATTCATAGTGGCAAAAAATATCTCCTATACAATAGTTTTTATGATACAGATAACGACTCTTCAATAGAATCTAATATATCTCATAGAATTTTGAGCAAATTCATTCGCAAAGTTGAAATCAATGCATAAAACCATTCAAACAATGATGCACAAACCTTTGCTGACTTCCGATTGCCTGCGCAATACGAGCAATGTTCTGTTTGTATGGATCCAGACAAGCTTTCTCCTGTACAACGAACACGATGTCGTGTCCTTTACCCGCATGAGGCACTTCTATCTCTTCATCCATCTTCAGACCATCCTCACAGTGCACTGAAAGATATTCCGGAACATCAGCTTTTACGTATGTTTTTGACGTTTTCCAAAAATTGTTAGCGCAAAAGCGATTTTTCCAGTGGACACTGATGAAAATTTTTTGCCTAAAAACGCCAGCAACATCCGGAAATCATTGAAGCAAACAAATGATTGCTTCGTTCAAAACGCTTACCACATGGTTTTGGAAGCGATAGATCGATGCCGTTATTAGTGCAAACGTGAACAAACGCCGACACTGCTCTGCATTGATGCTCTGGTCGATCGGACGAACAGATCTGCTCGAATTTCTGTGGATTCACCTGTAAATTTTAGGAGACTTTCAAAAAATTCCTCCATCATCAAAATCAATCACATTCTCCAATTGAAGGAGTGAAACAAACCTGTGAGAAGCAATCACTCAACGAACTGCCTGACGAAATGAACAACTCCTCGCATTTCTCGTTCTCTTGGCTACGCAACGGCGGCGCTTCATTGGCACGGCAAGAGCCTTGTACGGCCCAATGTTCAGCCAAGATATTCGTCTGAAACTTTCAATTTCTTGAATCAGAAAAAAATATCAGAAAAATCCGAAAGCTCAGGGAAAGTTTCACAAGATTGCAATTTCGACAACTGACAAACGCTATCGAGCGAATATTCTATCAAGACGCTGAAAATTGGAGTCATAAATACGTTTAGCAGACAGTCGAAATATCAGTCAATCGTATCCGAGCCTACAATCAAACACTCACGAGACTTCCTTCCTCCCTTTCTAATCTGTTTTATAGTGAAAGGTATGATATGAATCTACGAAGATCAGCATGAGATAAGATAAATCTACATAAGGGAATCATTCAGATAATCATTATAACAATACGCTGAAGATTCTGTCCAGATTTCAATTACACAGCTCGTGTTCTGCACTCTGCAACACGATAAAATCGCCATTTAAAGGTAACATAATCTAAAGATAAACCTCATTGTTGTGCGTTCCATCGATGAGATCCAAATCATTGTAAGGTTCGTTATCGTTACAACCCAGTAAACCACCGCTCTTCGCGTGCATTCGTCCCGGTAATTTGATTTCGCACAGGTGATGCACCGAATTGCACTTCACCTCAACGCCAATGTACGATTTGAGGATTGTCCAGTCTCCTTCACGATGAATCGACACCAATGCACTTCCGTCCATTGTATCGACTTTTTGCCATGGCATCGAAACTTCCCGACCGCCAACTTCTGCCTTGAAATGGATAACGATAAGCTATCTTGATTATCTTTATCTAATCTTAATCTCGTTAAAGCCAAAGGTTCTAGCCAACCCACAAATGATACCAATCGCAAACAAGAGCTGAACATCGCAAATGGAGCGAAGACCTTAAACTATTGAAAAACTCAGTTACTATCAATCTCCTCGAAACCATACCAATGTCATCATTCATTCCAAATTATCCCTTGATACCTCTCAATTAAACAACATCCGAAGATAAGATCTGCACGTGAAAATGAGAATAAAAATTAAAAGAATTGAGCAAAAATGGATTCAATTAAGCAAAAACAATGGAACTAAAGCACGCAAACACACCTTTCCGTTCAAATGCATCACAATTTGATCCTTCTGAATCTCCACTTTAATCGCATCCAATTCCGTGCCAGCTCTCTCCCGTTTGAAACTGCCAATCAGAGAGAATTGCTGATGCATCAGATCCGTGGCCAACAGATATTCACATGCTGAGTGGAAGGCAAACACACGGCCGTCGAACGTCACGAAACGATCTGGCGCTATCACGTAGGCAACACCTGAAGGATAAGGCATAAGGCACACGAAATTGTCTGAAAGTCAAGTGAGTATAGCTCTGATAAATGATAACGTTGACTGGACGATAACTGATTCAAAAAAAATTCTGAACTTACTATCGAAAGGCGGTAAGAAGCGCTGATGTGTAGTGGCTTTGAATGTGTAAATACTCGATGCTGGGAATTGATCACTCTGAAATCAAATGAAACACATCAAATATTCGGTTCGGAACGGAAGAAGCAATTATTGTGAGACGTTTAAATTGAAACTGATATGGTCATTCATGTCAGATGGTTGCCACTGAAATGCACTCACTGACCTCAGGATGTAAGGCATAAGATCTGGCTTTCTCGAGCAGTGACGACTTCAAGGCGAGCAATCGCTCAGGATGCAGATCCTCCAGAACCTCACGCAACGAACTCGCTCCATGTGGTACCGTTACTTCCGCCTCATACTCGCCTGGACCAATATGCTGAAAATATCACTTCTGAACCATCTGATCACCCAATGTCAGCTTCAAAATTCAGCTTAATGCTTAATTTCATCGAGCAATCACATACCGAATGGCATCTTCAGCATATCTAAACAACCACTTTCAAATCATATCTGCTGCAGATCTAACCGCAACATAAACACAATCGTTTGTGAGTGGTACGGGAAACTTGAAGAAATAAAAATGTAAATCAATCAAGAAGCGTATTCTCTGCAAAAAAAGAAGAGACTAACCTTCACAGTCGGCACATACTTCTTCCAGAGATCATGCGAGAACGTCTCCAACGAGGTTTTACCTCTCAAGAAGTGGATCACATCCAACCAACGCTTCTCCATTTCAATGTCGTCAAATCGCTCGCCACTCATCTTCTCAACAATATTGCCCGTTGCTCCAGACATCACTCCAACAAGCAGTCGATTGAGCAGAATCTCTTTTAGCTGAAATATTCACTCAGTTCTCATTAATTTACGTGTTTCCATATGGATTTCTCAATGAAAATTCCATGTTTCGATGAGAGAAACCAAGAAATTGGAAAATTGGAGAAAAATCTTAGTTTTCCATTTAAAAATGTGAGAAATTTTGCTTGTAAATGTTGCAAAAATGACACGATAAATTTACTTTTTCGTATAATTGCAGAGCCTTCGACTCGTATTGCTGTCGATGTGAATGTATTTCATGAAGCTTTCTCTCCACTTCAGGCATCTGATAGTCTCTTGAGAGTTTCTGTGCCTTCGTCAACACCTCGTGAATAACATCAATACGTTCGAGTTTCTTTTGATAGTCCTGGAGAGCCGCTGAAACGCTTTCTTGATAAGATATCTGCTGTGTCTGTTTGAGGAATATATTTTATGAATAATTCATTCAGGATTTCTGTGGCGATTCCAAAGTTCGTAGAAAATTCCATTAGAAAGAAAACTGAATTGAAGTTCTGGGAAACGCAAAACAAAATCAGAATTTCATCAAGAAAAACCTTTTATTTCCTTGATTTTCAAGTTTTTCTCCAAATAATCCAATGCTTCGTCGAACTGTTTTTGCAGCTTCTCTATCTGCAATATTTAAATTCATTAAGAAGAAACATTATCATTTTATAATACAATCACCCCAACTAGCATCTTAATTCAATTTCCCAAATTAAGATTATTTAAACTTGAATTAACCATCAGAGAACTTCAATATTCATATTCTTACAATTGAAATCGTAAAAAAGTCCCTGTTCTCTAAACAAATTCACAAGGAATCAATCTCCCTCCTTATATTTTCCATCTGAATTCCTTATATTTCCGAAATTTCGCCCGTTACCTTGTATAAAAAACTCCATAAAAAAAAATTACTAGAAATTCCACTCACCTGTACAGAGTAAGTATGGAAGAGCTTAACGACTGGTTCAAACATCTGCGTGAGCTGTTTCGTGAAATCGCCTCCACCTTCACGCATTTGGCGAAGTTTTTGAACAAACTCTGATTTGGGCATCGCTGCGATCGCTTGCTCCACAGCCTGAAATTAATTTCAGTACAACACTACCAGCAACTGCAAATCACTGTAAATTTCCAAATGCAATCATAATCCAATCTCCTAAAAATTCCCCCATCCTTCAAAAGAGATGCCTTCTACCTGTTGTGCCGTATCGTATGCTGTCAAAACTGCCTCCTCAACCAGTTCGTAATTTTCTTCGATTTGGTCCACCATCTGCTTATACTCTGGACCAAGCTCGTTTGCAAACTCTCTGAAATATTTCAGAATACATTGAGCAAAATATTTCAGAATCATTTTTCCGGTATCTTCGTTGTTTTCCCTTAAACATCCATCCTCCACATCAATTTCCTTAAAGGTTGACGCACACACCCTTCTCTGAATTCCTTTCAGCCCAACCCCGTAACAACTCTCGTCTGGTTATCATCACTTCTTAAAATTCCCCAGTTCCTAACCAACTAGCCCTTGAATACCAGTGCTATCGCCTCAACTCACCTCTGTTCTGTTGTCCATGATTTCAACAAAGTGTTCAGTGTATGCATGACATCCTTTGCAATAATCTTCTGCGATTCCACCAACGGCATCACATTATCTTTCAAAGCGCTATTCTGATCCAAATGCTTCGCTTCTGCTATTGTCTGTTTGGCTTTCGCCTGAAATTCTCATTGAAATCGCACTTCATCCTCTGAACGACACACAATGGTAACCAATAGAGATATTCCGAAATCGCCTGTCAAACTTTGAATATATCTTATAGACTCTCACTTATAATGAACGGATAGATAGCTTTGACTGAATTGAGCGGATAATTCAGTCTGAGGCATTCCCTATGAATATATGCAACGAAACTTGCCTTGATTTCACCCTCGAGTTGTGGTCGAATGTATGCTTTTGCCTTCAGAAGATTGTCCACTTCAAGCTGAAACCAGAGATTTATCATAACTTATCATAAATGATACTCTAATTCAAGTTAACTCAAACTTAATTAGTGCAGTAAATTGCGTCATGAAAAGTTGAAATATCGTTCCACAAAAACTCACTGAATGACGGTTAAATGCCGATGACTCGGCTTGATAATCAGAAAATCTCACAACGACTCGAGCAAATCTGTATAAAATTCAACAAACCTCCAGCGCTAATCTAGCATCTCTGATTCGTTTGCCTCGTTCACTATGCCAAAGCTCCACTTCAGCCGAATACTCGTTAGGCATCTCAGCCGAAGCATGCAATTTCACATCACCACTCTTCTCATCTCGAACATCCAGCTCATAACCTTTGGGCGTCTTCTTCAATTCACCCAACAACGACGCACGATCACTATTCTGCAATGCATTCACTAAATTATTCATTCATAAAATTCCAATCCTCTTCCATTACCTCTAAACTGATTTGTCCCTATAGCCATTTGTGACATTTTTACGAACATTTATATTTTTTTGGTTATTCAACTAAATGAGAACAAGCGATGTTTCAACTAAATGAGAACAAGCGATGCATTCAATGAACATCAAAAACATTTCAGAATTCAAAAATTATTCTAAAAGTGCTGTTGAATCGACCAAATAAAAGACTGACTCGATAGAAGGCCAGTTTATAGTGTTTGTCACCAACGGCATCCACCCGTGCCTTCATTTTTGTTTGCGGATAGTTAAGTTTCAGTTCGGTGAACGACATCGCATCCGAGTCGGCACTGAACGAGTATTCGACCATCTTCTTCTGTCGATTCATGGTCTGCACACCGAGTGTTGTGTGCACCGGTAATAGTGCATCATGCACTTGCTTACGATCAACATTCACCCACAAACGCAAATGCTTATTGCTGTAATTCACTTCATAGCGTTATGATTAATTAAAGGGTTACAATCACTGTAATACTATCATCCAGAATGATGATATTCACTGTAATTGTGAATTTATGAATATCGTGAAAGTTGACTCCGTTGATATTCTCGAATCGATTCTCTTTAATATTCTTCATCATCAGAACAAATTGTATCCTAATAGATAGGATCGAACATGAGGTTTTGAAATTCTTGAGTTATTATGAGAAATAGAGATGATATGGAATTCAAATGGATCAAAACAGGCGATTCGAGCGAGCGAGCATTGACCATACTCAATACTCAACCAAACTCAACTCAGATGATAGCAACAACCCAAATGGATTAAGACATCACAGTATTCAATTCAGATTCAACAGAGAATGTTGAGAAACTCAAAGAAGTTAATTTTAAGTTGTACAATGTGAACAACTGATTGATCGTATCAATTGTGCACACGTAAGGAGATCAGTTTGAGATGTGAAGCGACATCAAAACGAGAGGGATTCTCTCATGAATTCACACAAATGAAGTAGAACCAACGATGCGGGATGTGTTGCCAGCATCTCAGCTTCAAATTTAACAGCATGAGCCGCAGCACGACGTCTACGGTGTGCACCGACCTCCTTTCGTTCAATCTTTAGCGAGTGACTGATCAGCTTCTGCGGTTGGCCACTGTAATCTACCTGAAACGCACTCACTTCATTGAGTTAAGGTTAATGAAAGCGATACAATCACTGTATGATTATCATTCAAAACGATGATATTCGATGTAATTGTGAATTGTAAAAGTTGACTTCGTTGATATTCGAATAACAGATCCCTATACCTATACATGCTGACCTTTCAGTAGTTACGTACGTTTCTACAAATAACTTCAATGCTTAGGCTTCTTGCGCAAACCGGACGAATCGCTCGAAAAATATTCTCACAAGTAATACTGATCCCAATACCAAGATCAAGGAAAGAGCTTCTAATCGGAACTTTCTGTCCATCGAAATCTGGATATTGACTAGCTGAGCTGAGCTGATCGAAAAATCCCACTGGAATGAGTAATTAAGATGAGCTCACTTCGCTCTTTATGCTCAGTCCATAATTGTGTTGATCGCGTCCACTCTTCACCAGATCAAATTTCGCTTTGATTGGACTCTTCAAAGCTGGATCCGTCAACGATCCCTCCCAATGATAACCATTCGGATTTTTATCATAGGTCATCTCGGCCACTGTTGGACGACGTGCACTGCCCATTTTTGGTCTGAAATTAATCGTATGGTTGCGATTCATTGGAACTTGAATGCGATTTATATTAACATTCATAATGTTGATCAGTATTAATAATGTCCTTAGCAGCAATGAGACTGGTTGGTATATCATCAGAAGCATGAATGAGATATAAAATGAGATACTGCAATAAAAATATCGGATATGAATGAGATATCGGCAATAAACTATCATATCATATCATAAAGAAGCAGCATTCTTGAGATGAGACATAGACTCAAGTCACAACGAAGAAGTCTTCGTGAATGCCCTCATTCATGACATACACTGCCACTGAACTTCACTATGAGCATTACTTTAGAGATTGACCAATGAATCAAATACAAAAACAATGAGATGTAGTGATAAAATTTCGAGAATGACAAAAATAATGAAAATGAAACCCACTGAATTGAGAACAAGTATTTGTTGTGTGCAGGTCTACGCAGCTCCACATGTACGCTACGTTTTGGATGTTTCAAAGTCACCAACATGCCACGGAATTTACCTCCGTCGTCTTCTATCACACTCTCCGCACCGTACGTCTTAAAATTGAATTCCGATCAAACGATCGATTAAAAAAATTACGTGATCATATAAAATCACGTGATTACGTGATCAACACGTCAAAAATTCTCCAATAGCCAAACGCCCTCTATACGATTGAAAAATTATGCTGGCATATTATCACCAGGTCGTTTCGTTTTTCTCATATGAACATATGTGAATTTCTCGCTGTCCAAAACCTTTCCCTTGTCGTCTAAAGAGATTCAATGCAATGCTGATGCAATGTTCCGTTTAAGATCTCATCTCTTGACCTCGAATGAAGAAAAAATCAAAAGCACACCTTCTTGGTAGCCAATGGATCGAGCGTGAATTCAACTTGTGATGTTTGTCTATTTCCAGATTTCGTATTCTTCAACATCAACTCAAATGGCTCTTTGATATCAGTGATCTGAAAATTTTCAAATCAAAGTCGGCATTCCATCAAAGTCACTTCCACTAATTGATCGTTTAAAAAACATTTATGCATTCCCCAAAAAAAACTCATAATTACGCAATTTAACTGAAAACAAATCCCAGATTTTGAAAATCTCTCGTACTTGTTGAGATTTATACTAAAAAAATCGCACTCGCGCAATTCAAATGAAATGAAATGCTGCTCAAAAGGAGTACATTCGAGTAACCTCCAATACAGTGGTTCTCACAGGAAGTGAAATTACCCATTCTGGGTAACTTGGAGGTGTCAACGGGTTATGGAGAGGCCGGGAAAATAGTATTTAATGCACTTGGTATGTTATGACAGAACCCCATTGCGATTGGGTTTTTTATCTCGAATATGCAAATGTGGTTAGTTGACGGCAACATTGAAATTACATCCATTTGTCTTTGAGTGCCGTTTTAACAAGGTTCTCATTCTTTTCCTTGGTGCTATAATCACTCTCATAGCTTTTATCACCGAAAGTGTTCTCTTCTGCTAATTTCTCATTTATTTCACTCAACAATCAAAGTCAAATTCTCATTCTATCAGATACACTCTATAATTGAACATTTGACTCTCGAACATCACTGCGCAATAATATTCGATTGCTGCATTGTTGACTTTGACGGTCAACACTCGTCAACGCGTCCAATAAACAGTGTATGCAACAGAATGAGAAATTGAGTCGAACTGTCAAATGAAACGAGACGAAGTGAATGAGAAAAAGTCATGAAGAGAACGGTATTGGCATGTGATAGCTATGAGAGTGAATACAACACGTCTGAAAAGAATGAGAATGCATCTGAATCAGTTCGAAGTGTATGACCGTGTCATAGACAGCACGTTCCCATGCAATCATACGCGATTGCAATGCTCAGTACATAAACTTGTATCATTAATTCATAATCCATATCTTGCAATAGAGATATATGTGATAATTCATTCAAGAGCGATTCTCACCTGTATTTGGAACAGTTGATCGTTGTCTGCGGTCTTCAAATGCGCTTTCACCTTGCCACGAGCCGCTCCACCGGCTTGACTGGAAATCTCGAACTCCTCTGGTCCTTTTCTCACAACACGCATCTGAAATTTATCATCAATTCCTTTACATTATCCAAAAATGGAAACCCTCTCTTTACAGAAGACCTTATCCAAGCAAAATGATACGTTTTTTGACGAAAGAACCAAGATTTCTTCGTGAAAAATTTCAAAAATACCCGAAAAATTTTGACTCGCCCGATTCAACTTGTCACTATAAATTCTTCAAAAATCAACAATAGCAGGAGAAGTCATAACAACTACTGATAAGTATTATACAAGATTCAGTCCAATTCAATCCTATGCCGGCTTCAAAAAATCTCCTGTGAATGAGACTCACGACAACAAACCTGAGCGTCAGTGATTAGTTGAGTTGGTGTCTGCAGTTTCAGTGAGCCATGATCTCGGTCGACGTTCATATCGAAATGATATTTACGATTCGAATTTCTCATCAACGCTTTCGTTTCAAACTTTTGCGCACGCTGAAAGTTTCTTGGTTTCATAAGCTTAGTTTCGGAAGCCTTTCAGAAATCCGATTCCAAACACAGTCAGTGTCATCGAACTGATCGTCTGGGCTCGATAACGCCTTCGAGATGATCTTTTCTTTTTCAAATTTTTCGATCACGCAACAAAACGAGAAAACTGTTACGAAAAAAACAAAATTTCAAGCCATCATAAAATTGAACGCAATGTGATAATGGATGAAATGATAACAATACTAAATGATCAATGAACAAATGATCTTATCGCACCTTATCGATATGATATTCGAGTTTCCCTTCGTTATCCAAGAATTTATCCAATCTCAACAGATAACCGACGTCGGATTGTTGTGGTGACAACTTTTCGTGTGCTTGCAATACATAATTATCGTTCACGTTGCCTTCCACCTCACAATTCCAATTGGTCACCTTTTCACATCCGATATTCGACTGAAAGTTTTTTACGATGAAGTTTATTTCTGTGCAAATGAGTTGTTTCACTTCAAAACAAAATAAATACTAACAAATACTATTAATCAGAACAATACTATTAATAACATAAATACTATTAATCAGATGGATTCACTTACCGTGAATTTAATTATTTTCGGTGTATTACTGATCACGTGCGCTTTGATTTTCATCTTACGATCTTCATAGAGTGTTTCGATGTCCGCTTGCACTTGCTTCTCATTGTACTTCCACAACGCATCCAGCTTCCTGTTACCACCAACGTGCGTATAATCCAGCGTTGATTTCGCACTTTTGCCCGTATTCGACTGAAATTTCAAAAAAATTCCATACCATCATTATATCAACAAAAAAAGCGATTATACGGTTCTTTGAACATGACTACTTGCTACATTCATTCAAGCTGAATTATCAAACACTTCAGTACGACCGAAAAAAAAGTGGGAAGGTGAACGAAATCGTGATCTTATCTTTTTTATGTCAAGGATTCAAGACAAAAAATCTGATCGATGACTAAAGCTCAGAGATGATCATAATAATACTCTAAATAATCCAATCGACTCGAACCACCACACACAAATCAATCAGTCACTAACCGTAAGTTCATTATCGAATTTGAAATGTTGCGGTTGATTCTCAATGGTTCTGTGCATTTTGTACTCGTCTCGTCCCACCTTCACGGTTGCATCCGATTGCATTCGACGAATTGTGAACGCATCTTCGACAATCACATCGTCACCCACACTCAAACTTCCCTGAAAGAACAACCACACGCTAACAATATCAATATCTTTTCTGATATCGGATAATAGCGAAGTGAAAATTTCAACTTTGAAACTTTTCGATGAAACATACAAGCAGCATAAAAACTTATGCGCTCGAACAGGCGATTTTCTAATGATGCCTTCTGAAACTGGTTCAGTTCATCAGCAGTTTCCAATGGTTTTTGTAAGCTTTTATGCAGATCATTGTCTAAATGCTTGCAATCAACTGAATCACCGATCAACTCAGTGATCAACTGAACTGATCGATAGATCAATGAACGAATTAATTAATCGATCCGATGATACCTGAGGTGCATGTAGTGCCAACGAGTAGACATACTGTCTCTGTTTCGGTGTTTTCTGTTGTTTTCGCCATTTACCTTCCACTGCGTATCGCTCTCCATCAGATTCCACTCTGCCCTCGTAGTTCACCTGCAATTCAATTGTCGTGAACACTTTATCACTATCTCACCAAATGAATATTTTCATCTTTATCACAAATAGTATCACCTGATTCGCTCGGTAACTGAACGCTGCTTTCGTCTTTACGGATTTCTTCGGTAAAGGATGGTCCGTATCAACGTGTCCGTCCAACTCGAAATGATCCCACTTCAACGGTCCCGCAGTCATTTCCGTAAGCGATACCCTTCTGCCACCTTTCTGCACATCACTGAAATTTTTGGAATTGTTCTCGAACGTCGAACCAATCATCTTTTTTAGAATCATCAGATTAAAATAGGCAATTTCGAAGAAAAAGCTCATAAAATCTCACAAACCATTTCAAATGCACTTTGTCGAGTAGATCGAATTGTAGTGATCCTTTCACATCGTTGTTACCATCGATAGTCAGCAAATGTGTTGAACCTTGTGCGTTCTTATTCCGTACATACTCACCTGATGCTTTGTATGGCTTCTAAAATAGAAACAATTGAAACTCTCAATGCAGTACACTTCATTCATAACCTATCCAGATTTTGATCGAATTTCATCCCTATCGGATATTTACTTAAAATGACTTGACTTGAATGTTCCAAAACATTTTCTTAAACGTGCGATAATTTCAATACAGCAGTCGTATGAGAAACTCAGAATACAATGTTTTTCAATTGAATTCTGAGTGAAAAGCCGAAGTAAGAGTTCAGAAACTGATCGAAAAGTCGAACATTTTCGTAAGTCCAATCGAAATGACCAGAATATTTCTGCGATGGAGCCTTGAAATTCTTCGGAACCAGGATATCGCCTTTCGCCACTTGACGATTGTCCTTCTTGATCACCGCATCCAGCTTCATCGTATCAGCTGTCGGTTGCACGTTTCCAGCCTGCATGAGTGATAAATCCAGATGATAACAGTACTATTATTAATTATATTATTAAATAAATAATGATTATATAACGGTATTAGTTCGAAACACAACACATAAATCACAGCATTTATTAAATATTAATGATAATTTCGGCACTACTTGCGATACTAATGACATTCCGCTTAACAGTCTCAAACTTCAGTATAGAGGTAATCGCTCGCTAACAACCTACGAACAAAATGACTGTGACTGAAATTATGATTAAATTTGAAATTAAGCATTCACTGAATGCTCACTGAACTACTCACCAAATGATAGTGGAATTTTGGATCGAATTTTTGTGACTTCACATCGAGATCGATCTTCTGCGGTGCACCGAATTTGCCGTTTGTACTGCCGATTATCTCGTAGACAATTACATTGCCGTGTTTTGCTTGCCAGTGAACACTGCAAAAAAAATAATCGATAGACGAACTCAATTCGATTTTAGTCATCGATTTAGTCAGTTTTGTACGATATCATGAATAGTAACTGTTCACTTATGTCATCATCACATTAATAATACTGATAATAATGCTAATAATAAGTATTACTGTCAATATCAGAACAATAATAGTAAGAGTGGCAGCAATACGAAATGTTTACTTGTAGTGATCTTGACGATATTTGACATGTTTCTTCAAATGGATTGGCTCACGCATACCAGCCACATTCACCACTGAATCTATTGAATACTCATGCTCCTGGAACAACAAAAAATACGATGTTAGGCGATAAAACACTTCGTTAAAAACCTCTAAAAGACATCGATTCAGCTTTTATTTTCCTCTGAACAACTTATTCCTCTTGACTGACTAAGCGATTTTGGTAAATGAAATGAAAATTTTTGAATTCCAGTGAAGATAAAGAAATTCCAAAGAAAACCCAAAAACCAAAAAGACCAAACCCAAAACCCAAACGCACTCCAAAAATAACCTTCGGTTTGAAGAGAATCTCTGAATTCACGTCCACTTTACCGTTGCGATCCCATTGTACCATTGTTACTGCCTTATATTTACCGGCAACCTGTTCGTCAATATGTTCGGTGGCCACGAATTCTTTACCTGGATAGGCCAATCGCGCTTTTCCGTTGAACGTCCACTTTGGACTAGACTGTAAATGAAGGAGAAACTTAGAAAATGTTGAAAATCCACTTAAGAAACCAAGAACAACACTGAGAATGAGAATTTCTGTCGCCACAAAATCAGTCAAACAAATTTTCGAAGCTAACGTAATACAACCTTAGAAAACTGCGGAGATTTTTTTCAAAAGGACTCTGGAAAAAGAAAGTAATTACCCTCATTTGATATTCCACACCAGCATGAATATTTTTCATTGTCGGTGTTTCGGCATCAACTTTCAGTTGGAATTGCATTGGGAATTTATTTTGATAGGCAATATTGGCTTTGTGGTTCACTCCAAGTCGATCGCATTTCGCCTGCAATTTTCAACCGTTCATCAGCACTATTTTTCCCGAAACTATCTCCTCATCAGTAACTCATCACCAAATCCATAAATTCATTCATAAAATCATCAACGGCCCCGATCGAAGTCTCAAAAACCTTCAGTAAAGAAAATTCCATTTGTAATCAATGAGCACAAGGTCACAAGTTGAAGGTCATTCCGCAAAGCGCTATTAGGATTGTTCCGCAATAGCTTGAATTATCTATTAGGTCCGGCAGAAAGATCTCGGACACCTAAGCTGACAAAATGAGATGAGATAATGGAACAACATTGCGTTTCACTGAGGAGTTCTATATCTATCGTTACATGTAATAAGTCGCATGTATATATAACTGGCTCAGAATTATCCTAATTTCAAGTATTGTCAATAAAAGTATTTGATACTTTGTATCAGCACGATTTGCATCTTAAATATCCCTTAAACATATTCTCCTTATAAGATCGCCAATTATATCTCAAAACGCACAACAATATTGAAATATCTCACAAAACAAAATGAATACCGTCGCAATTGCCGTATATAAATCGTTTGCATTGCGTTTGATGTCCACGTTCACCGTTGATTTCTTTCCTCGATAATCCACTTCGATGGCGTTCTTCATGTCGTTTCCTTCACGTTTCGAATACACCGTATAGTCGTATTTACCCAGCGAACTTGACTCCACACTGATCGAATTCTTCAGATTGTGATCTTTGCCTTTCATCTGCAAATCGCACATTTTCATATCCCATTCAACTTCATTCATATTATCTCCATTCATAATGTGAGCCTCTTTACGGTACAATAGCTAAGTCCAGTATGATGCGGGCAATATCAGGGATTCATCTCCAAAAATGCCCGATCCTTCCAGTCTCCGATTATTTTTTCAGCCACGGACTGGTGAGCGATGAATCATAAAAATTTAAATACCATGCACGAGTCTATTCTCTCATAGAAACGTATGCGATAGCGAAGCTATGACATTTGATTCAAAAAGATATTCCTTATTAGCAGATACCAAACAAAGATATATTTCATAATTCACATATGCGAATGATCGGGATAAAGGAGGCCTTATCCCATTCAAAACTTTCTGTCTCTTCATTCAAAAAGTATTTCATCATCAATGGATGTAAACATGATTGTAAACATATTCAGGCAATTCCTAGTCCCCGAAAATCCCCGGCTTTTTTTCAGCCGCAGACTGGTCAGCGATGAATCATGAAAATCGTAACAACATGCACGAGTCTAATCTCTTATGAAAGAGAAGCGATGATGATAGAAGTGTATATGATAGCACTATGACATTTGATTCAAACAGATATTCCTTATTAGCAGATATCAAACAAAGATATATTTCGCAATTTATACATGCGAATGAGAGGGATAAAGGAAACCTTATCCCATTCAAAACTTTCTCTGTCTCCACATGGAAGTAAACATGCAAAAAATATTTCATCATCATTTCATTGATGATGAAATATTTTTTGCATGCAAAAAGCATTTGATCATCACCTTAAACGTTTGTTCGCTACCGATATTCAGCAGATGTTTCTTCTCGTTTCCGACTTGATAGTCGCCCTTCACCGAGCCTTTATACGAGAAACCTCCCGTGTGGTGCAAGTCACCGTCGAGTTTACCGTTGAATTTCGGTCCCGAATATTCCAGTTTCGACTGATAATGTGGACCGGCCAAATTCATCAATGCTGAAAGCAATGAATCAATAGCGAACTCAAAAAATTTTCCAACAATGATTCCAAATTCACATCCCAAAAAATGACCACCAATGAACACCCATTCCAAGTATTCTTCCAAATTATCGCAATCTCCTCGAATCATTCGACCATCATCGTTATGTAGCGATTAGTGTGATAGTGAAGTCAGTATAGTGCTGATTCAAAAACTTTCGTCAATAATTAGTTTTCCACTAAAAAAGTTTCGAAATATCAGCTTGAACCTGTTCCTAATGTGGAATTTGGTAAGGTTGATTGAAGTGTCAGTTGATTGAAGTATCCTCATTTGAGCGCTAATGAGGATATCACTGACACTTCAATTGATCTGTTGCAAAATCAGTTGAACTTACAATTGATCATCAACAAATAAGTGACAACCAACTTTTGAAAACGATCGGTTTCTCGAAAACTTTATCCAGATGGAAGTCAACACTTGCATATGGTGATTTACGACCGCTGTATTCTATTTCTGTCTTCAAGTCGGCTGTTTCAGCACTGCCTGCCAGAGTCTTTGCTGTTAGTGTGTATTTGGTACGGCCTTGATGTGTGCCGGCCTAAATTTTTATATTGTATCAGTAATACTTGACTTGATTCATAATAGATGTTCAGTAGACATCCATCTGTCTGCATCATCAAATAGCTACAATTGAATTGTGTTTGCACTGCATCACAAACTCCTGCGATAATTCTATCTTATCTTCTGATTTTATTCCTATAAAATCGCTCGGCATACCGACCAACTACCAGCAAAGAACTTCACCAATTCAACGATTCATCCTTATTACTTCTAATTTCTCACTCGAAAGTTTCCTCGTATCTAACCAAAAACATCTCTTAAATCACCTTGAACGAGCCATCCAAATCGTAGTGTTTTCGATCGTCGATATTCAACTTCAACTTCGCATCGTATTCCTGCCTAGGTCTCTTCTCCACCAGATTGCCATCGACCATGATCTTCTTGAACGGTGTTATCACGTTCATTTTCAGCGTTTTGCGCGGAATCGATAAGTCAAAGCTGGTCTCCATTTTGCGGTTCACCTTTGAACCAGGTGTATCCACGCTCATCAACATCTTCTGATGAGCATCCTGAAGTTAGCGTGATCATAAAAATCTTTGACCATAAAAACAATTTGTGAATCGCTATTACGACTTTAAAAAAATCAATAGAAGTTGAGACTCTCCGTGCCCGAAATTCAACTCTCAACAATACAAATCAAATGTATTGATGTCAGAAGTCTTCTTCACTTCCTAGAGCTACTACATTCAGGTTTCTACCCATAAACAAAGCACATTCGCCGCATATCCCTCAGATCCTCTCCCATCTTCAATAACCTTCATTCACATTCCAAATCGACACCAACAAATCAGTCAATCGCTCGATCCATGAACCATCAAAGCGATTATCACTGATTATCACTGAGTAAAACTCACACTGCTCTCGTGATCGATCTTCAGCTCATACGATTTCAATTGTGGATCCACTTTTTCTACTGACACTTCAGCGAGCACAGACGGATAATTGTTTTGCCACTGAAAAATGTGTGATAATCTTCAGAAGACGATCATAATTTATCACGTTTTGCCTGTGCCTTCAACACAATGTCAATGTGATTTTCGAAATTCCTCCAAACCAATCCTATTCAAATCCAACAAAAAAATTTCTGCATTCTACTGTTTATCATCTGCTTTTTATGCCTTGTAAAAATTTCATTTATTGTAATGACTACTTCAAATTCAGCAGTAGATTTTCAAATTCATTGCTAAATCAAGATTATCTAAATTAATTCGGAATTGGACCAGTTTCGATCAAGCAAACAGGTGATCCTATAGTGACAAAAACACTGGCAGTTAATGATTATGAGTTGATCAAATTAATTAAAAGTGAGATTATGTCACTCTAAAATAACGATTGCTCACCTCAGCACACATTTTCAGGCCAGTCACTTTACCGGTCGTTGAACTTGTACAATAGTGATGTTTAGAGCCTGGAGCTGGAGGTGTTGGAATTGCCGTTATGCGATTATTATCAATTCGTGACATCTTCCGTCTGAACTTATTTCATTACGCCGTAACATGATTGAATGTGCAAGCCAGTTCAATTCCTCCACTCATCCGTTCATTTAATAAAGGATCTTTCATTTTCATTTATTTTTCCCTTTCGATGAAAATTTTTCATACTCGAGCGATTTCCTCATTTGTTACATTCAATTTTCATGAATGCTCACCACCACGTTCTTAAACTCTTGATTTCAGGCAAATCTTCAACAATCTTTAGCGATTATTTGCAGATTTATGAATAAAATGATGGCGAATCAATCGCATTCAGAAGAAATTCTGCAAACGAACACCAAAAATTTCAGAACAACTCACTCATAATGCACTAGTTTCGCATCGTCATCAGGTAGATTGATCTTTGCCAAGAATTTTTTGCCATCTTTAAGTGAGACTTCACCAGAAACACTCGTCGCTGAGTATAACGTCGATTCGCAGCGAACACCGGATTTTGCCTCGGCAGCCAACAACGATACTGACAGCGTTGCGAAAACTGATGCCGATGGCTGAGCTTCCAACTGAAATAGCCAAAAATGACTTCGTTGAATTGTTTCGTATCAAATTCTGTGTCTGATCGAGGCGATACTTCAAGTTTGATCTCGACGAGGATTTCAATTGGAAATCCTCTTCGAGGATCAAAACTGATCAATCGATGATCGAGTTTCAATCGTGGATCAATTGAATAACTAAGTAAGGTTTGTGTAAAGAACTCAAGAACAGTTTTTAAATAATGAAGGTGAGATAAACAACTCAATTCGAAAGAAATAAGATTTTTATCGAATAGACTGAATTCCTGACCAAAGCATCCGCATTTGGTCGTTGATGCAGCAGATCGACCAGATTCAATTTTGCTTTATATGAAACTTTCGATTTCACGGCTGCGTTCAATGCGATTTGCAGAGGAAGACCGCAAACAGTTGGTAGCAATCGACGTACGTCGACCAGCATTAAATTCCGTGATTTCTGAAAAAAAAACTTCATTTCCTTTCACGAAGAATCTGAACTTTTCCATTGATTTTAAAGCTCAACATTTGTTCAAGTGAATTTTATTTCTTGAATCTACGAAATGTTATCGGGAAACCTCCAAAAAATTCGGAGGGGTTGCAAATTTTTCATTCAGCCGTCGTCTATACCCCAAAATGGCTAAAAAGCTCCCAACTCCAATATCTTCTCTTATCATATCAACCTGAAGAATTCAAATCCCTTCAAGTTGATTTCCTTCACATCGCCTGCAATTCACTTCCCTATCTCCAAACCGGTCACAATCTAATCTTTCAATGCTCACCTCAAACTTCATTTCCTTCGCTAATTTCGGCAATGTTTTGTCTAATGCGAAATATTCTTTTGCATTCTCAAAGAAATGGTCCTTTTCGAATGCAAAGTACTTCACATCGTCACCAAACATCTGAAAGCAATCAATCCATTTTTATATTTACACCATACAAAATCCATCTTCCTCTAATGTCATATAATTAAAAATCACTTCAGCATTTCAATGCTATCATTTCGATTCAATCAACCATTATTTTCTATTCCAAATCGCACTCATTCAAATCTTAATAAGGATATAATCTATCATTTATCTATCACTGCAAGGATATAATCCAAGAATATAATTGGATATAAGGATATGATAATCTATCAAGGATATAATAGGATATAATGTAATCTATTGATATAATCTATCATTATTGCAAGGATGTAATCTATCTATCATTCATTATTCACAAACCTTAAAATGAATAATATAATGTGATCATCCTGTAAAATATCGTCACTAAATCTGTTTAACTCAAAACATTCAAATCTAATCAAGGAAATGAAATTATGTTCGATTGAGTGCACCGCTAACTCACCCTTGCAGATAAGCTTCCGGAGAGTTGATCTTCAATGAAATCGCCTTTTTTCTGGAACAAAACTTTCAGCTGATTCACTTTAGCATTATGCGATTGGAATTTTTTGTCGTGGAAGACATGGCCGTTTGGATTCGAGATATAGCCATCTGCGCCGAACAGTTCATTGTCAAGCTGCTCCAGTCCTTCAGCCCGAGCATCCAGTTCCAATATATTCAAACTAGAAGCATCTTATTACTACTTTAACTGTCATTACAATAAAGTTGATAGTACACTTCAAAGAGATCAGTTGACCTCTTCCTTTGGAACGCATCTAAACGTACGTACCTCTTTCCGAAGAGATGTATCGTGAAGTTGAAGTTCACCCCGCGTGGTATATAGCCTTTTGGTGAGAATATAACCGATGAGTCCATATGTCCACCGTAATTGTTCTACAATGTGAAGTTATTATTGATCATTTTCATGCTTACTCTTCTATCGGGTATCATTTGGATTCGATATCACGCAAAAATACAGTTTCTGACAAATTCAATCTTCTGAGACTGAATTTGATATTTTTAGGAGTCAATTTCAATCTCTCGGATATCCCTCAATATCGAACAGATTTGCTCAACATACGAAATCCTTCACTAGGTTCTCACATAAATACACCTTCCAAATGGATGACATTCACAATACGAATGATAAAAATGAAGTTTTCTATTGATATGCAAACATACTTCGGGATCGAAGTATCCCACTTCGTAGAAACGTGAGAAGCGACGAGGATCCAAATCGAAACGTTGTGGAATGTGTTTCTTTTTCAGAATCCTTTGCAACTCCTCATTTCCAGGCTTCGACGAACGTCGTTTCGCATTCAAATACGACCAAACATATGAACCAACTAAATTCTCCATTGTGTTATTTCCATTTTGTAATTTTCGGATGAATCTTTCATATGTTCAAAAATTTTAGAAATATTCATTGGCCGTTACAATAGAATGTTGCGTTGTATTCCATCGCAAAATCGCACTAAATCCCCAAAATATCAAATATTCAATCTCAAACCCTGATTGGATGTTTCGTTGTGGAAATGATCGATAACTTTATCAACAATCGCCTCGTCAGCACATTCCATTAATTGTGCAAATGCCGCTATTCGTACCTCTTCATCCTCCTTAAATGAAGTTTCGAGTGTTCTACTGATGTTATCCAGTTCAAGCCAATAGGCTACGATTTGCCTGTATCTAATTATCTGTTCCAGTAATCAAAATCAAAAGTTATTTAGCTGTCAGTTATTGAATTATTTTATGGTATACAAATGAGTTATTGTCGTTATTATTATTTTATTATTACTATTATTATTATTTTCATTAAACCTATAATGATCACTGACCTCTTCATCGAAGAACAAATGGTCAATATTCTTATTGCGTTTATCGTTGCACGGTTTTCGCCTGAGAGCATCGATTGCACTCAGCTGCACTTCCAATGGATTCTTCTCATTTGCAACGCAATCGTTTAGCAATGTCAATGAGATATCCTCATTTCCAATGTTACCTATTGCTTTCAGTGCGTAAACTGCTTTCTGAAATTCGTAAATTTGCTCGATGGTCACAAATTTCCGTTCGAAGTTTCATTAGTGAAGGCAAATTGTTTCTTTGCGATTGCGATTTTAATCGCTATCAAAATGCTTTTGCTATTAGATGTACCGTGGATGGATAGTTTGGAAATATTGATGAGCGATGGATATTCTGATGGTATTGGTAAGGGATGCATATTTTGAAAGTACAAATGATCACGGCAATGGGATGTTCAACGCTGATGTGTATAATTTACGTCGACTATGAATTAAGCAGGTGAGACCAATGAATTTGCAATTGAAATCACCTCCACTTCAGCGAAATGTTTTCCGACTGTGCATCCACGAGGAATTTTCTGCAGAAGTGCGTCAATGATACGTTTCACACCGGGTTCGGTACCGCAGTGAGGATGCGATATACAGTAGGATTGTACCAGAGAAGTAACACCCAATAGACCTGCAGCAGCTAGGCGATCATTCTATTCATTCGATCAACACTTTCAAATACATGTATGTTTTCTCATTGATCGATCAGTTCAGATCAATTTTCAGTTTTCATACAAAACTATGCTTCTCACTGAAAAGTTTCTGATTTGTTGATAGTCTGGTGCAGTTTTTAGGGAGAACTTCGAGATGATTGCTGAAGAAATACCTTGATGAGGAACACGAGCGATGAACGATGCCACATGATCGATCACTGCCTTATCGGGATTGTGAACAAATGCCAACGCTGAAAAAACACTCTCGGATGCAGCACCGTGATTGATCAATGTGGCCAAATGCGCTATACAGTTGGCTGATCCACACATCGCTAGTCCATCGACGAACGCCGTGCAATCCTTGTTTGAGATTGAGGTGATCTCTTGTTGTGATAAACCACGAAGATTGTGCACCAGCTCGGCGAAATGCATAGCTGCCTGAAGTACATACGTTGAAATAGACTTTCGGATGCAGCACCCGTGATTTGAGTTTAACCGAATAGAATTTCGAGTTTTGAGTTTAACACTACTGTCATGCATGCTAAATGCGTTGCTTTTGTAATGTACATATGGACAATCTTATTACCTGGATTACCTGGATCGGCCAGGCTATCAAACGTTTATAACGTTTGATAGCCTGGCCGATGGCAAATGGACAATCTTATGTTGTGCCTCAATCACCGGGATTACCTTTGTCCTTTTTCCATAAGCAGATTTGAATTACTACTAGTCATTTTTCCAATATTGTACAATTTAGTGATCAGAATTTTTGAGTTTATTTATTAGGTATGGCAGAAAGATATATAAAGCGATTTCACTCTCGACTTGAATCATTCAACAGATACATAATCTCATGTGTGCATTGTTTATGCAAGCTTGTTTTTATGCCGTTCCTTCCCAGTTGCTAACAACTAACTGCTCGGGTAATTTCTTGGGTATCAATCGATTCTGTGATCGATTCTGTCACCGCCGAAGTATTTGTGAATTCTTGGTGATCATTGAGAGAGATAAATGGATATTGCCTGTTGATCAACTCGATGTGTTTGTGCACATAGCGCATCAACGCTTGTTTTCACTTGTCGTACGTCGGCAGTTTTCGGGGTGTGCATATCATCGGAGTGATCGAATTTGATGGTTTCATGCTTCGAGAACGGTGCCGCTTTGGCGTTCGAAGGTTGAGTACTCGTGTGTGTCATCTGCGCCACAACATGCACCGACCATGCGTCTCCTGAACCACCTGCTTCGATGATGGCCGGTAGCCGATGATTTTCTGTGCAACTCACCTGTAATTTTCACCGAAAATTACCCGAAACTAGACTGACGTAAAGCCGAAAACTAGCCGAAAATTGGAAAAAACATTGTCCCAGAATCCCGATGGACTTTATCTAAATTCATCGCTCAAGTAATCTTTATGATTTATAACTACAATATAAGTTTCTGTTATTTATTCTATTTGTTCAAAATTCGAAAGGTGCATTCCTCAATTGTGCAGTTTTTCATAAATTGGAGGAGCTTGCTCTTTTTTTCAAATGTTGCTAACTTTTTTCAGGATTCCATCTCTCACGTCACGTTCGCATTTTTGCGTGGCTTCCAAGGTAGGTACTGCTTGAATGTTCTGAAATACAAGAAATTAGTTCAAGAACAGTAATCTATTCCAGCATTTCGACCACCCAGTTGAGGGCGGCGATATTACACTGATAGATCATCAATCAAGAACAGAATCACAACTCGGCATGAGAAGAGTCAAATAGTAACCGAATGGAATCGATACGGTACGGCGCGGATACCGGAAATATCGGCGCCTCGATGGCAGGCCGCAATGTTTTTGGTTGTTTTTATGCTCAGGGCTGGACCAGCTTTACGATTCTCGTGTTCCACTGGACACTCGCCCACCACGTCAGTTTCCCAGTCGGATTCTGAAGTTGAGTGGGGTTTTTCTGATTGTGCCAGTAAATTTAACAATTCACCTCAACTCTGAACTATTTCTAGTATTTACTCCCTAAAACCAAAAAATCTGCTGATCGAAAATCTGAATTTCAAGCAAAAATGAAAAACAACCCAAAAATCCACATCAAATTTCTTCCAATTGGATTCATGAAATAGAGTGATTGTTACATTGAAGGCGATTATTGATACTTTGCTAATGAAAATACTTTTAATTTGAATTCACTTTAATTAGAAATTGTAGAAAGTTTGTGTATAATAGATATCAGTAGGATGATGTTTTCATTGTTGTTGTATTATACAACTCGATTCTGCTCACAAGCAGTGAGTGAGCTTAACGAATGATATCCACGAATACTATCATCCAACTCCACCAAAAAAAGTTTACTCGAAGTGAATTCAAGTCCACTTCAACTCCTACCGTGATTCGTTTGGAATGCTGAAAGAACGGCTCGTTTCAGATTCACCGCCCAAACTGGATCCGCTTCAGTGGGGCATACCCCAACAATTTCTCCGTCATCGAAACCGAATCTCAACGAATGTGCCTCCAATGTACGTGCCCAATCCTTTGGAACATCCATACCAGTCAATGATACGCCACTCA